CGACAACAAAGCAACACTTTTCAACGACCCTTTCCAGGACAACACAAACGACAATGAAGCTATCCTTTCCAACAACACTCTTCAACGACAACAAAGCTATCCTTTCCAGGACAACACTCTTCAACGACAACGAAGCTATCCTTTTCCAAGACAACACTCTTCAACGACAATGAAGCTCCATCTTTCCAGGACAACTCTTCAACGACAACAAAGCTATCCTTTCCAGGACAACACTCTTCAACGACAACTTTCCAACGACAACAAAAGCTATCTTTTCAACAACACTCTTCAACGACAATGAAGCTATCCTTTCCAAGACAACACTCTTCAACGACAACTATCCTTTCCAGGACAACACTCTTCAACGACAATGAAGCTATCCTTTCCAAGACAACACTCTTCAACGACAACAAAGATCAACAATCCTTTCCAGGACAACACTCTTCAACGACAATGAAGACAACTATCCTTTCCAAGACAACACTCTTCAACGACAACGAAGCTATCCTTTCCAAGACAACACTCTTCAACGACAACAAAGCTATCTTTTCCAGGACAACACTCTTCAACGACAATGAAGCTATCCTTTCCAAGACAACACTCTTCAACAACTACGAAGCTATCCTTTCCAAGACAACACTCTTCAACGACAATGAAGCTATCCTTTCCAGGACAACACTCTTCAACGACAATGAAGCTATCCTTTCCAAGACAACACTCTTCAACGACAATGAAGCTATCCTTTCCAGGACAACACTCTTCAACGACAACAAAGCTATCCTTTCCAAGGACAACACTCTTCAACGACAATGAAGCTATCCTTTCCAGGACAACGCTATCTTTTCAACAACAACAAAAGCTATCCTTTCCAGGACAACGAAGCTCTTTCCAGGACAACGCTCTTCAACGACAATGAAGCTATCCTTTTTCAAAGACAACACTCTTCAACGACAACGAAGCTATCCTTTCCAGGACAACACTCTTCAACGACAATGAAGCTATCCTTTCCAGGACAACACTCTTCAACGACAATGAAGCTATCCTTTCCAAGACAACACTCTTCAACGACAATGAAGCTATCCTTTCCAGGACAACACTCTTCAACGACAATGAAGCTATCCTTTCCAGGACAACACTCTTCAACGACAACAAAGCTATCCTTTCCAGGACAACACTCTTCAACGACAATGAAGCTATCCTTTCCAGGACAACGCTCTTCAGCGACAACGAAGCTATCTTTTCCAGGACAACACTCTTCAACGACAACAAAGCTATCCTTTTCCAGACAATGAAGCTATCCTTTCCAGGACAACACTCTTCAAGAGACAACACTCTTCAACGACAACGAAGCTATCCTTTCCAAGACAACACTCTTCAACGACAACGAAGCTATCCTTTCCAAGACAACACTCTTCAACGACAATGAAGCTATCCCAGGACAACACTTTCAACACAACAAAGATCAACAACTCTTCAACGACAACGAAGCTATCCTTTCCAGGACAACACTCTTCAACGACAATGAAGCTATCCTTTCCAAGACAACACTCTTCAACACAACACTCTTCAACGACAACAAAGCTATCCTTTCCAGGACAACACTCTTCAACGACAATGAAGCTATCCAGGACTTTCAACGACAATGAAGCTATCCTTTCCAGGACAACGCTCTTCAACGACAATGAAGCTATCCTTTCCAAGACAACGCTCTTCAACGACAACGAAGCTATCTTTCAAACACTCTTCAACGAAATGACAACGCTCTTCAACGATCCTTTCCAGGACAACGCTCTTCAACGACAATGAAGCTATCCTTTCCAAGACAACGCTCTTCAACGACAACAAAGCTATCCTTTCAAGACAATGAAGCAAACGACAATGACAACATTCTCTTCAGACGACAACAAAGCTTCCTTTCCGGACAACGCTCTCTAGAACAACAAAGCTATCTTTTCCAGGACAACACTCTTCAACGACAACGAAGCCCTTTCCAGGACAACACTCTTCAACGACAACAAAGCTATCCTTTCCAGGACAACACTCTTCAACGACAACGAAGCTATCCTTTCCAAGACAACACTCTTCAACGACAATGAAGCTATCCTTTCCAGGACCAGGAAGCATCGACAACGCTCTTCAACGACAATGAAGCTATCCTTTCCAGGACAACGCTCTTCAACGACAACGAAGCTATCCTTTCCAGGACAACACTCTTCAACGACAATGAAGCTATCCTTTCCAGGACAACGCTCTCTAGAGACAACAAAGCTATCCTTTCCAGGACAACGCTCTTCAACGACAACGAAGCTATCCTTTCCAAGACAACACTCTTCAACGACAATCCCTTTCCAAGACAACAAACGCTATCCTTTCCAAGACAACACTCTTCAACGACAATGAAGCTATCCTTTCCAGGACAACGAACGAAGCAATCCTTTCAAGCAACACTCTTCAACGACAATGAAGCTTCCTTTCCAGGACAACACCCTTCAACGACAACGACAACGAAGCTATCCTTTCCAAGACAACACTCTTCAACGACAATGAAGCTATCCTTTCCAGGACAACAATGAAGCTCTTCCAGACAACACTCTTCAACGACAAATCTTTCCAGGAGACAATGAAGCTTCCTTTCCAAGACAACACTTCAACGACAACGACAATTCCAGGACAACCTCTTCAGAAAGCTATCCTTTCCAGGATAACGCTCTTCAACGACAACGAAGCTATCCTTTCCAAGACAACACTCTTCAACGACAATGAAGCTATCCTTTCCAAGACAACACTCTTCAACGACAATGAAGCTATCCTTTCCAAGACAACACTCTTCAACGACAATGAAGCTCTTCAACGACCTTTCCAAGGACAACGCTCTTCTACGACAACGACGACAACAAGCTATCCTTCAACGACAATCTTCAACGACAATGATCCTTTCAACGACAACGCTCTTTCCAGGACAACACTCTTCAACGACAATGAAGCTATCCTTTCCAGGACAACGCTCTTCAACGACAACGAAGCTATCCTTTCCAAGACAACACTCTTCAACGACAATATCCTTTCCAGGACAACGCTCTTTAGATCAACTTATCCAGGACAACGCTCTTCAACGACAATGAAGCTATCCTTTCCAAGACAACGCTCTTCAACGACAATGAAGCTATCCTTTCCAGGACAACGACAATGAAGCTATCCTTTCCAGGACAACACTCTTCAACAACAACAGCTATCCTTTCCAAACAACACTCTTCAACGACAATGAAGCTATCCTTTCCAGGACAACGCTCTTCAACGACAACGAAGCGACAACACTCTTCAACGACAACGAAGCTATCCTTTCCAGGACAACACTCTTCAACGACAATGAAGACAACGCTCTCAACGACAACGAAGCTTCCTTTCCAGGACAACGCTCTTCAACGACAATGAAGCTATCCTTTCCAAGACAACACTCTTCAACGACAACTTATCAACAAAAGAAGCTATCCTTCAATCCAACAAAGCTATCCTTTCCAGGACAACACTCTTCAACGACAATGAAGCTATCCTTTCCAGGACAACGCTCTTTCCAAGACAACAACGACAATGAAGCTATCCTTTCCAGGACAATAACTATCCTTTCCAGGACAACGCTCTTCAACGACAACGAAGCTATCCTTTCCAAGACAACACTCTTCAACGACAATGAAGCTATCCTTTCCAGGACAACGCTCTTCAACGACAACGAAGCTATCCTTTCCAAGACAACACTCTTCAACGACAATGAAGCTATCCTTTCCAGGACAACGCTCTTCAACGACAACGAAGCTATCCTTTCCAGGACAACGCTCTTCAACGACAACGAAGCTATCCTTTCCAAGACAACACTCTTCAACGACAATGAAGCTATCCTTTCCAGGACAACGCTCTCTAGAGACAATAAAGCTATCCTTTTCAGGGCTATACTCTCTTGTGACCACAAAATTCTTCTTTTTAGGATAACACTCTCTAGCGACAAGAAAACTCTATATTTTCAGGATAACTCTCCCTAGCGACAAGAAAACTATCTTTTTCATGATAACACTCTCCAGCGGCTACAATACTGATCTTTTCATGACAACGCTCTTCGGCGCCAGTAAAACTCTCCTTTTCAGAACAACGCTATTCTCACCCTTTACATGAGATTACTGAGTTATTTTTTTTGGTTAGCCAATATACTACCCGCGATAAGGCATGGAAAGATAGGTTGGATATCATAATAGATTGGGAGTATATTTCCATGACCAAAGTGGTTAAGACGATGTTCATGGAAATCTGATTGCTTTTTCCTCACTATTCATATAACCGATTGAAAGGAAGATTAATATGCTGATGTATAGCTGGTAATAGAATAACATTACATTGAATGATTTTTTTTTTTTTTATAGAATGCGATAAAAAACTGCGGCTGAAATACAGACTTTTTGACAGATATACAATCCAAGAAAACATCTGGAAACCATATATTTATAACCTCTCCGCCTAAGAGAAAAAAAAGATAATTTTCTGCTTGGAAAACCTGAATAGAATATTCACTTTGTTTTAGGCGATGAGCGAGTCGCTTGGCATTACCTCTGGCGATTTGTCGTCAGATATAACCGACTGGTTTTGCAGATAAATTTAGCGCGAATCTGTAATGAAAATAACCATTGACTTTCTGGTCTCGTCGTCAGAAATGCGAACGGACAATCGACGCTCGAAAAGATGAAATGAAAAAGTCAAGCAGAATAGACAAAGCAACGGCGGAAGTACAAGTATTTTCTCGTCCTTTCCAACACGGAGACGTTCACTGACCTTTGCCCAAGTGATATTGCTTTCATTGTTTTTTTGTTTTTTATTCCTTTTTTTTGCGCGAGAGGTGGGGGCGTCACTTTGCTTGGATTTGATCAAGATATTCCAGCAGAGATGTTTCCAGAGGACGTTGCCGAAAAATAATATTACGGAAGAATAATCTGATGAGCTTCCACATATATTTAAAGACTTTCTCACATTCACACACATCTATCATCCAGGATCTATCTATCTATCTATCTATCTATCTATCTATCTATCTTGCCTGAAAATGAAGTATATCTTGTAACTCTATATAATAATTTTTTTTTTTAAACTATCTATCTATCTATCTATCTATCTATCTATCTATCTATCTTGCCTGTAGGTATATAGATTTTTGTAACTCTCTCTCTCTATATATAACTTAAACTACCCATATCTATCTATCTATCTATCTATCTATCTATCTAT